AGTCATTTGATAGTGATGCAGAGAAAAGAAATTTGATTTATAAGCTTGTTTCATTGAAGGAAGAAGAGGCGTATTTAAATAAGGAAGAGACAACTTTAGATATGGACATGTCCCAGCAGAAGGTAAAGGAACAGCAATTCCAAAGACAAGTGAAAGAGAAGCTGTACTCATGGTTACTGCACAAAGTAGCTGAAGACGGTAAAGGGCCAAATGTATTAGACGAGGAGGGACAGGGTGTGCTGCATCTAACAGCTGCTCTTGGTTATGATTGGGCCATAGCACCAATTATTATTGCTGGAGTTAATATCAATTTCCGGGACATAAATGGATGGACGGCTCTGCATTGGGCTGCCTCTTGTGGCAGGTAAATGTCATTAGAATTTTACAATTTAGCATGTTGAGTCAGCATAAATTGTATCTATCTGGTTGGCCTTCTCTTGGTGCCTGGATTTTGTCCACATTTCTGTCATTTTGGAAATGTTTTTTTTCCCCTATAACATGAAGTTATTAAATGTGTTTTCTCTTTAAAGGAAATGAGATAAAACATGCTGCACTGTTTCCCTATTGAATTCATATTTCATCTTTGTAATCGGAGAGCATTGGGTGCTCATCAGTTTTGATGAGCACCCAATGCTCATCAGATCTGGACCGTCCAGATCTGATCTGGACGGTCCAGATTGAATTTTATTTTTATTTTTATTTTTTTAAAAATAATTATTTTAATAGGTATAAGATAAAAAATAAAGATAATCTCCTAACTATCATTCTTTAAAAATATTTTTTTCTATTTTAAAATAATTATTTTAAAATATTAAATATGGACCGTCCAGATTTAATCTGGACGGCCCAGATGGCTCATCAGGTGATGAGCACCGGGTGCTCATCACCTGATGAGCACTGTATACGGACCCTCTTTGTAATATTCAAACTGTCTGGGTGCTAACCCTCTTGTTAATGCATACAAGTCATATTCTTATTGTCATGCTTATAGTGATTGTTATGGTTTGTTAAAGACAAATTACTACAACTACTGTATAAACTACTCTATCTATGGCATTAATCATGATTGTTAATATTTACTCCCAAATTAATCTGCATTTGGCATGACATGAGCTGCTTATGTTATTCCTTGTCCTCAATTGCTTAGGGAGCGGACAGTTGCTCTCCTTGTTACCATGGGTGCAAACCCTGGAGCATTGACCGATCCATCTCCAGCATTTCCTTCGGGTAGAACACCTGCAGATCTTGCTTCTAGCAATGGACACAAAGGAATCTCAGGCTTTCTTGCAGAGTGTTCATTAACTGACCACCTTGCATCTCTCACAATGGATGACCAAAAGGGAGATGGTGGTCAAGAAGCTTCAGGAATGAAAGCTGTGCATACTGTTTCAGAACGTTCCGCAACGCCTTTGTTTTATGGTGATGATATGCCTGATGCCCTGTGCCTTAAGGATTCTCTCACTGCTGTTCGTAATGCTACACAAGCCGCTGATCGTATACATCAAGTATTTAGAATGCAGTCATTCCAAAGAAAGCAGTTAAATGAGTACGAGGATGATGAGCTTGGACTGTTGGATCCACGAACTCTTTCTCTTCTAGCTTCTAAGGCAGGCAAGGCTGGACAAGGAGATGGGTTAGCCAATGCTGCAGCAACACAAATACAGAAGAAGTTTCGTGGCTGGAAGAAGAGAAAAGAATTCCTAATAATTCGTCAAAGAATTGTTAAAATCCAGGTTTGTTGTCTTGATCTCTTTTGGCTGGCTTTGTGCCTTTGTTCATTATTTAGAAAATGATTTATTTTTCCTTTGCTTTCAGATCCTGTTGTTAAAAACCACTTATGCTGGCCAAGATGATCATTTGAATTTTGAAGCTTTCTTTAAGTATAATGTTTAGATAAAATGAAGCTAGCTAAATAATGTTTTTCCAAAAGAATGTGAACTGCTTTCCTAAATTTTGATACATCAAGGAGCAGTTTGGAAAACGTGAGAAATTATTAGGAGTCTTATAATCTGATTTCCTTGTATCTTCATTTTACTATGTCTTTAGCTTTGCCCCTCTACGATTGACACATCCTTGTACTGATTGAACTCTCTACTTTTAAGGCTCATGTAAGAGGGCACCAGGTAAGGAAGCAATACAAGTCCATCATCTGGTCTGTAGGAATCCTGGAGAAGGTCATATTGCGTTGGAGACGCAAGGGCAGTGGCTTACGTGGATTTCGACCTGATGCTGCTGCTAACAAGGAACCCAGCCAACCAAGTGAATCTTTGAAAGAGGATGACTATGACTTTCTCAAGGAAGGTAGGAAACAAAGTGAGGAAAGGTTCCAGAAAGCCCTTTTGAGGGTAAAGTCCATGGTTCAGTATCCTGAAGCACGGGCTCAATATCGACGGCTGCTGAATGTTGTTGAGGACTTCCGTCAGACCAAGGTATTTCTCTGCCATCTAGTAGCTCTTTTGAACTCCTCTTATTCTACTTGAGTGTGTTCATTTGACATTTCCTTTTTATAATATTCATTTGGCAATTTTCAGGAGGGCAATATGGACATGACTAATTCAGAAGAGACGGTTGATGGTGTGGAGCAGCTGATTGATCTTGATATGCTTTTAGATGATAATTTCCTACCTATAGCATTTGACTGATTCACAGCCGCCTTGGCTACTCTGATCCTCCCCTCTGTAAATAGATAGCTATATGGCTGTATTTGGCATTGGGGAAGTCCCAAGTCCTAACATGGTGTTGCTCTTGCTGTATATATGCCTAATCTTTATTTATTTGGACCCAAAGCTAGAATACATTCAGGTTTGACAGTAAAATGTAATGTAATTTCATGTGACATGGTATGTTTTTTGTATGCTAATTCTTGCAAGACAGGTTGATTCTATTTATAATTGGTTGGGGATGTAATACTTGTCGAAAAATGAGTTTTGCTGAAGATCTTGTAGATGGTTGTAAACTTCAGGACAGGCTTACATTTAAACGCTAGTGTTTGAATTCGGAAGAGTATTGTGGCCAAAAAAAAAAAAAAGGAACAACAAAGGAAAGAAAAGAAAAATACAGAGATACAAAGAGAAGGTCACTATATCTCTTTTGGACTTGCGGCTAGGCCTAGACGATTATAACAATTATATAATACGTATCAAATCTATTGCCAAAATAAAACATAAAAAACTGAATTTGAATGGTGACCATTATGACGTTACGATTTACGAAGTGAAATTAGTCATTTTTTGTGTTTTGTATTCCACATCATATTACAAAAGGCCTTACCGTAGTTTTTCAACTTAAAAATAATTATCGAGACCTGAAAAATCAAGAATAATCTCTTCCGCACGAATGACTCTATCTTCCCCCCAAAAAAATGGTTGTTAGGGTAGATTTATTTATTTCTTTCAACTGTCAAAGCATCAAAATAATCAAGGAGACGGTAATGAACTGAAGCAAAAAATACACTTTAAACGAAAAGATATTTAAAACAGATGGAAAATGTTTTAACTTCTATATAATTTTAGATCCTCCGATTTAAAATATAAGCTAAACTTTATCTATTTACGTTTATCAAGAAACTAACTGAAATTAGTTTAAAACAATAGATGGGTAAGGCATATAGTTTTTTCTCCAAATATATCCTTATTAATGAAGAGAACAAGTAAAAAGAATGCAATAAATAAATCAAAAAAGAGAGAGAATATATGAGGGTAAAATAAAAAAAAAAAACTCATTAAATGCTTAGATAAAAGTGAATGTTATCTTATAAAAAAAAAAAAACTAAGCCTCTCAAACAAAGTTTAGCTTTTAACATTTAAACAATTTCATTTTCAGATTCAATAGCGAATCAAGAAGTTATAATTGATTATTCACAAAGACATTTTATTCAATAACTTCTATCAGTATTCTTCCTGATCACCCATTTTATTTTCAAATTCAACCACACATGGTTATCTAATTGATTTTCTCATAGCTAACCCCATGAATATATTTGTATTCCATCTTCTTCCATCATGACGCATAAAACAAGAATTCAATGTAACTTTCGCTTTCCAATGGGATTAGGGAAAGTTCCTCCGTATGAAAGTCAACCAATCAGATGAAAACCTTAATCTGGACTCATTCAAATGACAATGATAGTTAACCAATAAAATACAAAGCCTTAAACCAAGTTGAAAGTGAATAATTCTGTTTAAAACAATACAAGGGCCTTCGTGGCGCAGTCAATAGCTCCATTTATTTTCAGCTAGGCCTTGCACTAATCTCTTTGGGGATTATTACTGTCTTAGCCCCCCTTTGGAATCATCTTTGAAATTACTTATAAAAATATTTCACACAAGTTGAGACAAATCTCTTTTCATATGTTGATGTCATATTTTGTAAATCGTGATTAAAAAACTACTTATAAGTTATTTTACATAGTTAATTAGTAGTTCAACACATGTACTGTTTACATGTTTTTTCGTTATTAGTGCAAGACTATGTGCAAGTTGCCTTATAATATACAAGTCACGAATACACTGCAGGACTGATCATGGTATGAGCTTTGTTTATGAAATCGCTCTTCTTATTAGAGATTATAATTTATAATCCAGAACATAATGTGGATGTGCGTTAATGAATCCTATGTTAAGTTGGACCAGTCTTTTTCTGGGAATGATGACATGAATAGCTTCATGAGTTTGTCAAATTCAAAACCTATGCTATTTACTAAGAGGAATTGAATCTAGCAGAAAGACTTAGTCTTCACAATATGGCAAATCCAAGTTTAAACCCCTGTTAGTAGAAATACTCATTTAATAACCAATAATGTTTCGAATAAGATTACTTTCAATGGGAGGAGACATGCGTGTAGATGGAAAAAAAAACTATGCTATTTTATAGTAGACAACGAACAATAGTAATTCATTAAATGAGGAAAATATAGAAAAATAAGAGGATTTGTTGAGAAAAGAAGATCTATGAAAATAATAAAAGGGATTGCTGCATGCTAAAAGAAAATTAAGAAGAGCTCATCTGATGGGCTGGTATTGATCTGATATTCTTTTAGGAGGCAGCTTTCGCAGAATGAAGAGCACCAAACCAGACGGAATAATTTCTACTGTCTGCAATTCAGAAAACACAAAAATAAATATGTAAACCATTACAGTGACTACAAATAGACATGATCAGATCTTGAGTTTTTTCTCTTAACAAAATTGTATTTTACGTAGAAAATAGCTCAAGCACAAAGAGCAAGTACGTTAAGTTTTGATGATAGGGAAAGAAATATTTTTAATCTTTACATTATTTATCTTGTATTTATAATTTTTATCTAATATTTTTCAATAATTTTCATTTTTTATGCAGAGAAAGTTTTTGAAAACTGATTTTTTTTCCCCAATTTTCTTCGATTTTAATTGTATGTTAAATAGGTTCTAAGAACTTGAGCTGGAGGATGGTTCGGGAATGAGTATAAAATGAACTAATGAAATGAGCAACTACCCATCGTTTGAATGTTTGAAAATTAATTTGCTGAGGTAAATTAAGGACCATTGATGATTATCCCTTCATCATCTTAATTTTCATAATACTTTAAAATAAACCCTGAAGTGCTTTTTTCTTTCTAGTAATAATAGAATGAATTCTTTAAAACCTACGATATCTCATCTTCTGTATGACTCATTTCTAACTAATTCATATATACCAATTGAAATAGATAAAATCATTAAATTTATCATGAAATTCAAATGATTTTCAATTTCAATATTTTTCTTATTAATTATAGTAAATCCAACATCGTATCAATTTCCATTTACTCTCACTACTCTTGTTGAATATAGACATATATGAAAAAAAAATATTTAATATTTTTGAAACTATCAAATGACTCGTTAAAAAAAGGAGGATATGGGATTTTTTTTTTTTTTAAAAAAAGGGCACACTAAAGGAAGTTAAGGGGAAAAAGTCACAAATTTAATGTGATTCAATCTCTTAAATAAATCTATATATACGATCATCTCAAAACAATTTACCATAATTTCCAAAGATGAAAATAGCAGCAGATCCCTACTCATGCAATTTCTAATGAAAAAGTTCTAGAATACTCTCTAGAAATAACAGTTATCTAAATCACTAATTACATAACATCCATAAATGAAGTTTAGTCGTGTTATCTAAATATCTGTGTTAATCACATAACAAGGCTACTTGGGTGAGAAAAAGTAATGGCTATAAGTTCAATTGATAAGAAATGGTTACACATTCCTACACCCTAAACCCTAAACACTATTTAAATAAACATTTTTCCTGTTTCAAGTCATAAATCTCTCTACTTCATCTAAAAATGAAACTATTCACAGAGTATCTTATGATATCGGACTCAACCAAAAATAAAAAATAATACACTCCGTTTTTTCAATTAAAATTTCCAATCAACAGAATAAGTTGTTTCTCTCATCCCCTTATACCTCACGTCATCTTACTTTTATGATAACTCATCTCTCTCTCTTTAAAACTCCCAGTAAATCCTTAGAAATCAACAAAAGTCATCCTCACCTTCTTAAAAGTTGATCGAAAGTCCCTCTGCACCTTGTCCCATGCAAGATTATCAATGGAAAAATGTTTTCCTCATACACAGACATGCCTATAAGAAATACTATCTTCTTGACAAGGTTATAAAGTAAGCTTCTTCTTTTTTTCCAAAATTATATAACTTCTAAATAAACCTCGCAAGTTCACATGGGACCAAAAGTCCTGTGCATGACATAAGATTTAATATGCAAAAACCTCATGACCAAACGGCTGAGTTTGACAATCATAGTTGATCCTTTCTTATATTTGGCATTTCTTAAATAGAGACAAAACCCATCTCACATATGTTTTTTTTTAATGTAAAATCACTTTCAAAAAGCTAATCAAAACACCCTCCATATCAAACACGTGTCTCATTCATGTTTTAAGGCCCAATAATTCTTGTGCGAATAATTGGGTTAAAGATATAAAACTCATTTGTTTATCTTCACTCACAACAAGAACACTGGAAGTTTCCTTCAGTTTTGTCATTCTCACAAATGAAAAATAAAACAATGTTGACCAGTTCAAAGATGGTTGGCTGCAACAACTAACATAAACTAAATATCTATTACCAAAAAAAAAACACGAACTAAATATCTAAACTAATGTCAGTATTCATTTCTTTTTATTTTTTCATTAATTTAATAATGCATGTTGTAATTTTGAAAATTTGTTCGTCTCTTGTGGACATCCTTCGAGGTCATTATCCTATTAGAACTTTTATGTTGACAAGTTGGTTTTTCATAACAATACATCAAGGGCATTTACGGTTTAGTTATGATGACTTGTGGTGGATTTTTATACTTCAATTTGAAAGATGGGGAAAAATCTATTCTCATTTCTAATTCTTCACTGATTTGCAGCTACATGTGCAAAGAAGATTGTTAAAAGTATTACTCCTCCAGTCCTTAATATAGGACCCAATTGGTGAGTTAGTTTTGGTCCTAAATATAAGACCCATTTCATCATTTATCAATTATCTCTAAATTACCCCTATGGATACCCTTTCAACCATAATCAAGTAGAAGAGAAAGATGAGGTATTAAGAAATATGATTATGGTATTTTAGGAAAAACGTGTCATATTTCTTATAATTAACTAACTTACCTAACTTCCTTAATCTAATCAAATTAGGTAAATGGGTCTTATATTAAAGACCGGAGGAGTAGTAAGGAAAATTGAGCAAACCTTTTTTAGTTCTATGAAAAAAGATAGACGGAGTTGAGAAAAATACTTTAAAGTTACTATAGAAGGAAATATCATGGTAAACAATATATTTAATTAGTTAGTTGTTGATAAAGTATAACAATGTCTAGCATTTTATATAACCAACTCATTAATGAGTGAAATATGACTCTCTGTTTTCGTTATTTAAGGAGGTAATTCGTTTCTGGTAAAAAAGAAAAAGGGAGATAATTAGTTTACTCAAAGGAATACTCTCCTTGCAACAATGGAGGAGTCAATTTCATGAAAAAGGCAATAAAGGAGAATATTGCAAGGAGATGCTCCTTTGTATTATACAGAAAAAATGGTCCTATTTTTCGTAATTTTTCTTTACTTTTTTCCTTGTCATATACCAAAACACATGGTTTTGGTGTTGTCATATCATTGAAGCAGTTGGAGGTATACTCAGGCATGATCCCAACTCTAACTGAGGATGACCCTGAAAAAGGTGGGGTAACGTGCCATTCATTGCTAAAATTAATCTCCCCGTTGGGTTTAAACTTTTGACTATACTATTTAATTTTCCTTTGACGTGTCATCTTATGGCTTAACCACCATGTGATCCTTCTGTTCAAGTTTTAATGAAATAATCACACAAAAATAAAACAGCTTACGTTTCATTTTTAAAGCTATGATGTTTTGGAGCAATTGCTCAATTAATCAAGCCTGTAAATTCGTTTAATCAATTGTCTGCATATTCTACAGTAATAAACTGATGATCATTTACTACATTAATGTAATTTAATATGTAGCCCGTGAGACTGTGTGGCACAATTTAAAGCATAATGAGAAAATGTAATATACTACTTTCAATTCTTAATATAAGAGCTAGTTTGATATTTAATTTGCTTCTAAATATAAAACCCTGATCTATTTAGTTTTTCATATTTATCAATTTTTTCAAAGTAGTCCATGTAGTAGTTGCACATGTTAAATATTTCATCAAATGATAATTCTAACTAATACTCATGATTAGTAAGAGTATTTTAAGAAAAATAACACATTTATTATGAATAACTAATTCAATTAATTTTTTTTAATCTATTAATCAACTAATTTTTATATTAAGAACCAGGAAAGGTAGCATCCGACAAAGTATATCATAGGTTATAACTTACCAAGTAATACAGCAGGTTAAGAATGGGATGATCCAAAACATCAAGATCTGCTTTCTTGTCAAATGCAGAGATTGCAAGCTACAATAAGAACCAAGGATGCCTTGTCAAGAATCAAGAATAAATATATAAATAAAAATTTCATATGATTATGTGCAATAAATCCAAAGTGAAAGTAACCCACCAAAACACATCTGATCATGAAACAAGCACAGCATATACTTGTGACAGAGCCAACCTGCCAAGTAGAAAAGTTTAGGTTCCAACAACTATTAGCAGTATCGGACTTTCTCAACAATTATCTATTCATGCCTGATTCAAATCTCATAGAATAAGTAATTGCTCAACTTACTTTTTACAGATCATATTTTATACGTTCTGGGCACTCTATCTTAAAATACTACAGTAAATAGATCAGAGACAGAATAAAATTTCTTTCCAATGTGTTCGAAAATTAAATTTCAATTAAAAAAAATTGACTGCTCATTATTGCGGCTCCATCTTTATCAGTGTATGTCATGCTGTACAGATTACGTATAATAGCAAACTACACACACGGAGGAATTATATTTAGATTAGATTATAAACTTTTTCTCGCCATATTTCAAGAAATATGTCATAGGTAGGACATACTTGTCTTCTAAGATTTGAGTTATAACATAACTCGTAGATACGAACCTCATAAAGCTTCTTCTGACGACCTCTAGATTCAATGGGGAAGCGTCTCAACAAGAAAAACAGCCTACATAAAAAGATACGTGTTCAGTGACCAAGAACAAGAATGGTGCTCTTCAGGTAGACAATAGCTTACCTCCCACCGTACAACAAGAATCCAAAAGCAGCAGCGAACGAAATAACTGCAAGATTTGGACCCAAAAAAAGTCGGTACAGGTTTTGTAACATCATCCAAGTATACATTTGAATTTTCCTAAGAAGCATCTGACTATAAATTCATCCTAATGTGTTTTGAAAGAAATCACTGAGTTTGTTATACTTCTTCGTTTCTTAATATAAGACCTATTTAATTAATTTGATTAAATTAAAAAAGTTAAGTAAATTACTTAATTATAAGAAATATGACATGTTTTTCCTAAAACACTATAATCATCTTTCTTAATATCTTCCTTCCCTCTTCTACTTAATTATGATTGAGAGAGTATTCATAAGGGTAATTTAAGAAAAATTGATAAATATGAGAAATAGATATTATATTTAAGACCAAAATTAACTCAATAATTAAGTCTTATATTCAGGACCGGAGGAGTACTATTTTATCAAAAGTGGTCACAAAATGAAATGAATATACAAGTAATCAACCAAATGATGTCGACAGAAATAACCTGAGAGGAAGAGCTTAGCAGCTTCCACAGTGGCGGAAGTTCTGCTTATGGTAAGGGAAATCCAGATGCAAACCTATAATTATCCGGATGAGAATATAAAAAAGGAAAAGGTCACGTTAATTTACATAATCACGGTGCAACTTCTTCCCAGACTTAGGAATTAAGATGACTGACAAGGAAATAAAATATATACTCTTTACCTGCGTGAAGTAAATGATTCCATTTATAATGAAATACGCAGGCCTAAGTCGATGAGCTGGTGTTCTTCTTGCCTGAAACAGTGTTGAAAAAAGTGAACCAAATAACACAATCAGCAAACTAATCAAAGATGACTTTCATTGTAGTGATTTTTCAACAGATATACCTGATGATATATCTCGGCCCAGAACAAGACAAGCAATGTATAAGTGGAGAAAAACAGCAGACCTGGTAGATCCATTAACACCTGTTCCAGTGCCTAAATCATGATATTATTGCATGAAATAGGTCAGAATATGATCGCAAGATGAGAGATCCAGTAACTTAATTGAGGCTGAATGAAATGCATCGACAAGGTCAAAGAAATTGAGAGGAATGAAATAAAACCTGGTTCCGATGTCATACCATGAGGCTAAAGTGAGAGGATTAGAACAAGAGTACACTCAAATGTAATTTTTAGTTAATCTACTTCGTATCTTTCCTATGAAATGCTAAGATGCGTAGAGTTGAGTAAAGGAAGAAACCTTTGGTCTAATGAGGAATACAGATTGGTAGAGACCGAGAAGAAGAGCCCTTGCTGCAAATTTAATGTCGTTTCAGTGAAGCTTAGGCAAATATATTTATTAACAGATTGATTCATATATGACTGGCAAATCTTACATCCATTGACAACAAAATTCATCAAGTGGAAAACCTTCTGTGTTGTCCATCCATATTCAGGGACTCTCAATTGAATGCGCGCAAGTTGCACCTGAAGATAAAGACATTTAATAATCCAAACAACCAAAAGCACGCTGTTCGCTAACATGATGTTCATCAGAAAGTTCACATATCTGGCAAAACGAATGGATAACAAGAAAATTTTTGTTTCCTTCAGATAATAAAACTCACAAGGATGAAAAGGATGCAATGTTTGGCCACTAAATATAGTCATTTCAATGACAGTTAGATTAGAGAGTTATTGATCATTGTGTATCTTTAGATCGCAAAAAGAAAGAAAAAAAGGGAGAACAATGCCTCTGATCAATTTATCAACGAAAAAAGCCCATAATGCAATCAGTTCCGGTGGATATCTCGCTCCATTTTCTCAATGCCAGATTCTCAAATTAGTTATCCGGAAAATGAGAGCAAATCACTTATCAGAGCAGCTGGGAAAAGCGAGGCAAAACAGCTTCAAGAGGATTAATAGTAAAAGCCTCAGAATAATGTCAGTGAAACCAAAAGTCACATCACTCTCAGCAGATATCTTGCTCAGTTTTCTTCTATCAAACATCAATACTTCAAATTTCTCAGCACTATGGCATTGCGTCCTGTATGCATCTCGGTGCTTTATTAGTTTTCGCAATGCTCGGCTCCCGGATAATTTGTAAAAGGTTTATATGAAACGGAAAATTTTCCCGGAAAAAGACAGAAAAATCACTCACCAGAGCAGCAATGGAAAGCAACGCATAAGCGGCACAAAGGGCGAAGTAAATGCCTCTCTGCCATTGATCCGATCCGTCAATGCTGTTCCACCAATCTATTACCTCAACGACCCCTCCTCCTCCTTCAAGAGGAAAGACATTTGTCCATAGCAATCGCGCCATTCGAGAGCTTTCCAAAACAAAAAAAACAAAGTAAAGAAACTAAAGAAGACGATGATCGATTAAACACAGTCGAGAGGTCTCTCTCTCTGTGTGGGTGTGTGTTCAGCTAACAGAACAGAGAGAGATGGAAACACGTGGCGCCACCCTACTCGTACACGTTGGCAGGCCCGATTCTACACGTGCGATTTTGTAACTGCCGGATCGACCTCGTGCATTTATATTTTGCATGCTGCTTTTTTCCCATTGCTACTATTTCATTTCATTTTTAAAAAAATAATACTCCTCTGCTGGTCCTCTATGTAAAAACCTATTTTACATATTTATTAATTTTTTTAAATTAATCTTATTGATATTTTTTAATAATAATTAAGTAGAAGAGGAAGGAAGAGAATTAAAAAAATATATATTTAAGACGTTTTAGGAAAAAATCATATCATGTTAACTAATTTAACTAATATTTTTAACATACTTGGATTAGTTAATTAGTTGTTATATTAAGAATAAAAAAAGTACAGAACAAGTAGTATAAAGGAAGTATGCAATAATGCTATATTTATTAGCATTCCTAAAAATGCCAAATTATAAAGTATAGAATAAACAAATTATGATATTTTAAGGAAAAAAGGAATATCTTGACGTAATGCTATTAGTTGTGAAATTAAGGCATAAGAAAAAATATTATTTGTATAGCATATATGAGAAAGTTATCTTCCTTCGGATAATTATAGAAACAAAAGAACATTATCATGATTGATTATAAAGCATTCTTTTTAACTATAAACATTGTTTAAAGATGATATTAATATTTTACTGAGAGAATAAAACGTAGGTTCTACCCATTTCATTGTAACTAATACTCGTCCTTCTTCCTTATTTATATATAAATTTGTAGTTACTCCACAATTTGCAACTTAAAATTGTTTTAAGACCTAATTGTTAGTAAATCAGTTTTGCTGGAATGCATTTTGGAAAAATCACTATGAGGCAAAAAAAAAAAATATAATCACCAAAAAACCCCAAAAAGAAGTGAATAGTAGGGATATTTATGGGATGACACGGGACCAGGACAATCCTATTCCGTCTCATCCATTGCGTTTTTTTTTTTGAAATTTTTAACTTCTTTGTTTTAAAATCAAGTGTACTTGGAACATAAGAACTCGATTTAAAAAGTATACAAATAAAACATATTAAAGAAACTGACTGAAAATTAGCAATAGCTGAAAATTGGCAAAGAAAAAAATATTTTTAGAAAATATATAAATTCAAAATATTCACTAAAAAATCATATAACTCATACAATAAGAAATTGTAAATTGTAAACAACATAATAAAAAAAATAATACTAAGGTGAAATAAATTTCTAAAGTTAAAATAGATAATATACCGGAACGAGATCAAGACAAGACACTTCCATCTCATTTCAAGATATTTTTGTCCTATCCCAAAATGATTGGGATCAGGACGAGATGTTGGGATGAGACATAATTAAATAACTATAAACAACATAATTTTATTGTTATTTTTTGCAATGCAACTTGTCATTAACTGGTCATAAGACTTTTTAACGATTACATTCGTTCTTTAAGATTGTACACTACTTTTCTCATACATTTACATTTTCTCATATTCTATTAATATTTCTTTACCAACATCCGCTACTTTATAATGTCAGTCCAATATCAATATTAGACTTATCAAGCATACCAATCATGTCATTGCAACATGCCAATCATGTCATTGTAACCTAGTGATATGATTTTTTTTTTTTTTTTTGCGTAATAGCATCAGGTATCCTGGGCAAGCCATCTTTCAGGCACCACAACAGTCTAGACTAATTCGGATTGAGAGTTTGGTGGACCCTTTAAGGGTGGAGCCCCCTACCACTGCCCAGCTGCTGTGTTCCTAGGAGTGATCGAACCCCTAACCTGGTTAAGCTAAAACAACCCCCTTCCAGTTGATCTAAGCATTCGGTGGTGATTTTTTAATGTACAGGGTTGTGACTTGGCTTTCATCCCATCTGTAATTAAGCTCTCCCATTGTGGATTTAATCATATCTCACTTATTACTTTAAGTCCACGTCAAAAATAATAACAAGAAGGTTAATCTTAAATTTTGAAATATTAGGAGAATTTCATGCAACTCAAATTTTTGGCATGTAGATTTATGGCTTAGCAGTACAATATTGCCACGTCTAGGTAAAATTAGAGAAAGATGACGATTCAATTTAAAATTTAGAAAAAAATTGTAATAAGGTCTCATCAAAGAGAATTAAAAACAAAAAAATCTCTTAAAATTATCAAATTATTTTAAAGTCCCAAAAAACTCATTAAGAGACTTTATTTGTTTAATTACTAAATTATCTTTATCTTTTTTTTAAAGTATATATTGATAACTGAAAATATAGTCGTTAACAATTTAAGGTGTAATGATTAATAACTATCGTGAGAGATATTGATAACTCATATATTATATTTTTGCGATAAGCTAAGAAAATGTGCTGTTACTACATGTCCTGATAGTTGTTAATTATTACACTTTCAATTGTTAATACATACTTAAAAAAACAATTTAACAGTTAAACAAATAAAATTTTTTATAATAAGATTTCTTAAAACTTCAGAATAATTTAAGAATTTTAAAAGACTTTTTTTTATTTAATTTTAAAATTTATGGCATCCTATATTGAAAACCTCAGGTGTAGCTCCAGGCGGACCCGGGGATGTGTGTAGCAGAAACTCCACAGAAGAAGAAAACAAAACAGAGAGAAGGCAAAGTCAAATAACTCAGGATTTTGCACGAACTTTCTCAGAAACTGGTCAGACGCTATTATTTTACTCTTCCCAACAAATTTAACTTCACTCCATTAAATTCCAACACTGAATTTAATTTAATCCCATCACCATTTCTTTCTGGCGGAATCAGCGTATGACAAATTTTAGTCATCTGAAAATTGCTTATTTTGATAACTAAGTTTCTTTACACAATTTCTTCTAATCTCATGTGTAAATTATTTCTAACGTGTTTTATGATAATTAACAAAAACCTTAAATCTAATTTATTTTGTCTTTAAATTTAACAATTTTTAACGTTACCTCTTCTAATGTTTTTCTTAGTTTTGATAAAAAGTAAAGAATTTATGGCTAGAAATAGTAATACTCCTCTAGTCCTTAATATAAGACTCAATTGTTGAGTTAGTTTTAGTCCTAAATATAAGACCAATTTCTTATATCTATCATTTTTTTCTAAATTACCATATGGATACTTTCTCAACAATAATCAAGTAGAAGAGGGAGATGAGGTATTAAGAAAAATGATTATGGTATTTTAGGAAAAAAGTGACACATTTTTTATAATTAACTAACTTATTTAACTTCATTAATCTAATCAAATTAGTTAAATAAGTCTTATATTAAGAACCGAATGAGTATAATGAAGGTTGTAATCATAAGAAGGGGAAACTAGCTTGAAGATATTTACAGATTTACCTAGTTTTAAATTAGGTCTTTAGAGTTTTTCCCCCTTTTTATTAGGTTTTTTTAGTTTCACAGTTAATAAATCTGTTAGTCATTCATCTTTGAAATTGTTAAATTTGAATTAACAGTGCTGACATAGGAAACACTTGGAATATTTTGACAACTAAGCATCTGTGTGGAAAATGTTTAGCCAGCTTCATCGGCAATTTCCACAAACCCATCTGTTTTCTGGGTAGAAAAAGTTGTTTTCAAAGATGGCTAAATTTTTTCCACGTACATGCTTAGTTGTCAAAAATATTTCAAGTGTTCAACGTGCCAGCACTCTCTCACAGAATTTCTTACACCATCAATTCAAATTTACTGGTCTTGGACTGAGGGATTTAACTGTAAAAACTAAAAAAAAACCCAACAAAGAGAAAAATTAAAGACCTAGTTCAAAACTAGGTAAGACTATAAGTGCTTTCAAATTAGTTTTTTCTTATAAGATATTATGACTTTATGTTATTTTTTGTTTTAAAAACAGTTTTTTTGTGTTTAAAAAAACAATAAAACGTGTTTGGTAATTTAATTTGATCTAGGTATTTGAAAAACAAAAAATTATATTTTTTAAAAACCAAATATAAAATAAGATGCTTTTTTGTTTTTTTTTCTTTTGCATTTCTCATTTTTTAAAAAAATTGGGAAAATCTTTTCTTTTTCACTCACACCGTTTACCGTGTGCTCCTGCCACGTCATTGTTGACGATGGCCGTCACTTGCCACATGCCCCAATCATTCGTCGCCATCTCACTGCCAATAATCCGGGAAATTTTTTGTCACTAAAAAATAACTAACTGGGATTTGTGATTATATGTAATTCAGTCGCTAATTTCATTGGTGATGGCCTGCTTTTTAGTAGTGGTGAAACTAGATTAAGAATTTTCTATCTAGATTTGTATTTGTCCTAAATTGATAATTTTATTAAATGATCCAACAAATTTAAAATGATACTCCCTCCGTTCCTTATTATAAGAGACATTTGATGCTTATAGCATGTTTTTATATATAAGAAACACTTAAAAGTTATCTCTACTTTTTTGTGTTGATTTCCTATTTTACACATATTTATTATCTCCAACTCACACTCTCTCTCCCCCTCCCACTTCTCCTTCTTTTAATAATTTAATTGTTCTATCTCATACTATCTTTCCTTATTAATGAGGGCATTTTTAGAAAAAAAAATTACACTTTTTACACATTAATTATTCTTAACAAATTTTAACTGTTTTTTTATCAACGTATTTCGATTATTCGTCTCTTATAATAAGAAACGGAGGGAGTATTAATTAAAAAAAAGACCTTAAAAAAATCTGGTGCTTACTCCCTCTGATCCTATTTATAAGCTTTATATTTGAGAAGGAGAATGACTCATTTTATAATGATTCATTTTATAAACTTCAATTTGAGTTTATTTTAACATTTAATGTTATTTTTAATTATTTCTCTCTTATTATATTTTTCTACACATTTTTTTAGCATTTATTATAAAAATATATTTAAAAATAAAAGTTTATTTCTGACTTATTTATTATTTTTAATTAATTTTAACTAATTATTTTTATTTATAAATCAATTATTTAAAATTTGTAATAAAAATACGAGGGAGCGGGTTGCAAAATTATATATGTAAAATGAAGCACAAAATTTTATGGAATTATGTCCTACCAAACTTGCATCCCATCACAATTACCTCTGTGTCCTTCAAATTAGCATTTATTGTCCGTAACCAGAAAAATCCAAAGATTATTATTAAACCCCTCACACTTTCCTGTCTTTAGTGGCAGATTTTGTATTCTTCCATCAGAGAAGGGCGTGAGAGTTAATGTCTTGTCTGCAAAATCTAACCTGCAGCGTTGACTTGTTGATTTCAGATCTAATGCAATTCCCTCTTTTAGTATTAATCAATTACTGAGATTATCTTTTTTAATTATTGCTCCTTCCTTTCTAGTATTTATTTGTTGTCAGAGTTCCTTCCCATTCAAGTCTCCAGCATTTAATCAGAGCTGAACAAATAATAACAAAATTAACTATTTAGTGAAAAAAACTGTTCAGATAATTTTTTTTAACAATTTTCACTTATTTAATTTATATAATTTTAACTTAATTATATTTAATTTATTCAACTCAATTCTTTATGTTTTGGTCATTTAATAAATTAATCCATATACTTTAATATATATATATATATTTGGCTTTCAAGATTGAGTTATAACATAATCATAAATTGTAAGAATGAAGAGATTAAGTAATTAGAACTTAAAAGATTGAGTTGCATCCATTTAAATTTTAGAATGTTGAAACCAAACTAAAATTATATGAATTAAATAATAATTGTAGGAGCATGAATCTTCCTTTAAAAATAAAAAAGGTTAGGGGAAAAATCTAGGATTTACGATTTTTTATATTCAATTTCCAACTGCATTTATATTTATTTGTATTGTTTTATGCCTTACGAGTTTGCCGGTTTGCCACAAAATAAAGTAATAATAAATGAGATGTAATTGGGGGGGGGGGGAGGAGTGCTTAAAACTTTTGCCATACTATTTTGATCATATGAGGTAACTCAAATGATGATTAGCTATGTTCTTATTTATAAAATTTTTTGACAACTGGAGTTTCGAATGCCATTTATATATATATATATATATATATATATTATTTATTAATAAAAGTATTATAACGACAGTGAGACTTGATATCAATATGGGGTTGATTTTTATCAATGGATGCAATGTTTGTTGTCAATATTATATTTTCTTGGAACATTGGAAACTATTTCATCTAATTTAACCTCATAATCTTTTGTAACAAAAATTAAAACTACATTTAAAATCAATCAATCAATGATCAATAATTATTATACAAAATCGTTAATCACTACTACCTCTGGTCCTAATTATAAGAGCCAGTTGACTAATTTGAGGAGACTAAGTTGAGTTAGTTATTTGTCCTAAATAAGTGTTATTTTTCCTAAAATATCTTTGCTAATCAAATGTATTAACTAGAACTATCATTGTTAGAAGGACTACTTTGAAAAAAATGTATAAATATGAGAGACAAAGTGGATTGAGGTCTTATATTTATGACCAAAATAAAAGTCAAACAGTGTCTTATATTAAGGACCAGAGGTAGTATTAATTTAGTACACCCTCAATACTTAATACTACCTCCGGTCCTTAATATAAGACCCCGTTTGACTTTTAGTTTGATCCTAATTATAAGACCCCAATCCATTTTATCTCTCATATTTATGCATTTTTTTCCAAGATAGTCCTTCTAATAATGATAGTTCTAACCAATACACTTAATTAGCAAGGATATTTTAGAAATAACAACACTTATTTATTACAAATAACTAACTTAACTTATTTCCTTAATCTCCTCAAATTAGTCAATTGGGTCTTATAATTAGGATTGGAGGTAGTATAAGAGTTAGTTGGGGGTTAGATTTTATTATGAATATAAAACCTCAATTCTTAATTCACTTTGTCTCACACCTTTTCTAAAAATATTGTTATTTATTGTAAAGGGCTTTTACTAAAAGATAATTTCAATTATCTAATACACATGATAAAAGATGATAGTTTTGGAAGACGAATATATATTTGTGACAAATAACTAATTTAACTAATTTCTTTAATATCTCTAAATTAGTTATTTTGTTTTTATATTAGGTATTAGAGATAATATAATATCAAAAACTCTATGATTGTTTATTTGTTATGCATTAAATTGATGATTTTTTTAAAGTGCTTGGATATTTTTCATAAATTGCAGTCTTTTGTCTTCTTTTAAAAATAATATGAATATTCTTATTCATTATATAAGAAATGTTGCGAAATCCTCTTTGGTTTGACCATAAAACTTATAATGCCTTCTTAAACTCAACCACAAATTCAAAGTTAATTTATATTTTTTAATTAAAAATTGAAAATACATAGACACACACAGAGCACTAATTAAACCCAAACAATATTGTTGATTCATCCTTTTATCTCTGCGTATCTGCAATCATTTGAAAACTACTCGATTGGAGGTCTGCTGATTCTCCCAGAGTCAACTTCTTATGACAAAATAATTTTAGGGAAAAAAATTATAACATCTGATCTTAAATATAAGAGCTAGTTGACTAATTTAAAGTGATTAAAAAAATAAATTAAGTTAGTTATCATTATTAAAAAGACTGTCTTAGAAAAAAATGTATAAATATGAGAGACAAAGTGAATTAGGGTTTTATATCTAGGACTAAAATAAAAATTAAACGAGATCTTATATTAAAAACCAGAGGTAATATCAATTATTCAGAAAATTCTCTATTGTATTTATTTGACTTCTGAAAATGAACTCTAAACTCCAAAGTGAAAATGAACATAAGCTTGAAGCATGCTGCAAAAGATTTAAAGACGGAAAAATGATCTATTCTTCTGGCTAATCGGGTAAACGCGCCAGAGTGATTAATTTATGCTAAACACCATGACTAATCTTAAAAGCAGAGCTTATTGCGGGGATTATTTTAATGGCTTGGGGGCGAGAGCTCTTGGGGTGGAAGACGTACGAGTAATTAAGTGAAGAACAGAGTTTCCAAGGTAGAAACTTTGGCTGACTTTTGAGGGGTCCCCACCAAATACTCGTTTTTATACGAACAATGAAACCTCAAAAACAGCTGTAATAATTAACCGCTATAGTGTCAGCAATAAAACAACAAACCCGAAACTGCAAAGTCAATAAGGGCAAACTCTTGCCATTTTGGCTGCCATTGCCATGAGAGAAGACTTTCTCATCAAGACCAGGCCGTTACACCCGTCGTCTTCGTCGTCTCATCACTCTCTCCTATTATAATTGCAACCCTCTAGCTCTTTGGTCTTGATATCAATTTTCTGTGTGTTATTTGTGTTTGTGTCTATTGTTTTCTCTTCGTCTCTGAGGGGGGACGCCAGAGTCGGTTATCCAATTCCTCTACAGATCTTCCCTTTCACTTTTCTTATATAATTTTTTGGTTCCCGGATCGGTGAGTAGGTTTATGTGTTAGCTGTTGATTATTGCTCTTTTATCTTGGTAGTTGGAGATGATATCATTGCTTGTTGGGTGATCGGAATTCTTCTTTGAATTCACAGTTGTTTATTCATTTGAACGTTTAGGGTTATTTGACATCCTGTTTTTGTGTAATCTTTTTGTTATGAAGATTAGCAGAGGAGTTACATGTTGACTTGTAGACTTGAAAGGTTGAGAAGGGGCTGAATGATATGGATAGCCTTTGTTGCTTCAACTCTGTCACTCAGGTGAGCATTTCTGCTGCTTGTTATCCTTCTGATGCTGATGTCGTCTTCCAAAATTATAAATCTTCAGAATTTCCTGGGAAAGGATTTAGTTCCTGGCGCAACCCCAGGATATTTCCTGATACTAATGTTAGGATCAAGTGCCTATCACTGCAGTAAAAGCCTGAGTTGTTGCTAACAAGGGTGAACCCTACTTCGTTATAGTTTCTCGCAGCTGTGTCATCCGGCAAATTTAAACCTTCAACCTTGCTTTGATGCGATTTGTTAGGATCAATGGCATCTTCATAATTTCTTATAGCCACATTTGGCGAGAGGACTGCTCCCCTTTTGGATGCCATGGGCTTGGATGTTACACCTAGGAATACTAATGGAGAAACTGGCCTTGTAAAGCCACAAGTAATTCCAAAAGCATAGGTATTTTGGAGTTTTCCATGGATTTTCTAAGCGGGTATGAGGCAGGTGTCCTGGTCATATATCTAGTTATCTACCCACTATTAAGTTCTAATCTCTGTGAATGGCCAAGGAGTATCTCAAATTTTACTCAAAGCATTTCGACTTGAAGGAAAATTGAAATGTAAGGACTATTTCGGCTAATTTGTGGTCATCGATTAACCTCAAAACAAGGGGTGATGACTGACAAAAGGCAATATAGGTATAGATGGAAGCAAATAACGACTGAACTTGAGTATGTATGATCAGTTTAAGAATTGGTTTTCCAAGGCTGTTTTGTTGGGATGATCATTTCTGAGATTTTTCCTCACTTCCTTTGCCACCTTTGTTAGCATTAATTTGTGAGATAGGAGGAATTGGGGATTAGACTAATTGCAGAAAGGGAAAGAGATCTTTTCTGACAGTTGAGACTCTAGTTAATATGGATGCTAGATTGCAATAAATATTGTAGGTACTACTTCTTCCTGATTCTTTTCGCTGCTTAAGTAATGTTGATCCTGAAACAGGTGAAGGGAAAACAGTAATTGCATGGAAAAGTGAGGGCAGTGGAAGATCTATCTGGACTTTCTGCTAGAAGTATTTTGAGCACTCAGCCCTGAATTTTCTGCGGCTTGTTACATTTTTCAGATATAATTGATATGAAAATGCTGCCCCGGTTATATGCGATCGTGGCAACAAAACTGTCTAGTTAATCGTCTTTTGATAGTGGGTTTTGCTCTGATTTTCTTCTTTCCCTCCTCTTTAGTGCCCATTCATATGAGTTGTTTTGTTCAGACTCAGATGAGAATCGGGTCATGCCTATGATATATCGTTTTTCATTTTTGCTGGTATCGACTTTTTCTAGGACTCCAATTGTGGCATATTCTTATTATTTGTTTCAGTTATTCCCTTGTATAGCATTTGTATTATGTAATATGTGCCTTTGGTTAGTCAAACAAATTACACTTGACAATTTTTTAACATATCTTGTTCAATTATGTTGAATAAGGCCTACCTACTCTTGCTATTTTATCAAAAACTAATGTCTTTATGTGGTGTCTTTTTTGGTCAAATATCTTCAGGTGGTTGGAGGACGTTCGTCAAGTAGCTCTGGCAAGGGCAGAAGCCATCAGAATCAGGTCAAGTATGGCTTTAGCCTTGTCAAAGGGAAAGCAAACCATCCAATGGAAGACTATCATGTGGCAAAATTTGTCCAGGCCAGAGGGCAAGAGCTTGGACTGTTTGCTATCTATGATGGGCATTTGGGGGATAGTGTGCCAGCCTATCTACAAAAGAATCTCTTCTCTAATATCTTAAATGATGTAAGTTGTCGATTTAATTTTAAACTATTAATTTTATGTGTTTAGTTTTTACTTAAAGTTAACTCAATGGATCATGAAAATAGTGTTGGCCCGTTTCTGGTTTACGTTACATGTAATAGAAGATTCTATTCTACTTCCCAACTTCCCATACTTTTTAGCTAAGAAAATATTTTTAATTGATTTAGAAAATATTTCTAAGTGATCTCTATATGCAATTGCTAAAACTTATTTTCTTTTGGTAACAGTATGCTGGGTTAATCTGCTTGTTAAATAATGTCGTTCTTCATAATTTAATTATATTCCAGGAGGACTTTTGGACTGACACAGCCAGGTCCATTGTAAAAGCTTATGAGGCAACAGATAAAGCAATTCTTTCTCATAGTCCTGATTTGGGACGAGGTGGATCAACTGCAGTGACTGCAATTGTTATAAATAATCGGAAATTATGGGTAGCTAACGTTGGAGATTCACGCGCAGTTCTGTCAAAGGATGGGCAAGCAATACAAATGAGTATAGATCATGAGCCAAATACTGAGAGGGGCAGCATCGAGGACAGAGGTGGCTTTGTCTCTAACATGCCAGGTTCGCTTATAAACCTTGATTTGTATGACATGTTACTCACAAACTTGATGCAGGATTTATAGATTTCATATATATGATGTCTTCAGTAAGGTTGTCGGGGTTATGTGTTTCATTTACAATTTCAAAATTCAAAGTACAAGGAGAGAGTGTTTTGATCTGATGGACATGACTTAATTGAAAAACTGAGCCAGCTAGAATTTTTCAAAATGATACAGGTCCTTTTGTTTGTTAAATCTACTGAAAGAATAGCATTTCGTTCAATAATCCATCATGTACAGGTAAACAGCCCTAGTTCTCTCCTTCCTGTTTGGGAGGCTGATACTAATAAAGGTACATAGAGAACCTTGGGCAAACACAAAGCATAGGACTGTAAAAAGGTTTTACTATTTGGGAGGCCGTTTCTATTTTGATGACCTCTTTTTCCACATTACTTATCCCTCTCTATCAGCAACACTACTTTGGTACATCCTGTGGCTGCCATTTCTAATTGCCGCTTTCTCTTACTTCTCACTTTCTCTCCCTCTCAGTTTCATCCAAAAAACACAAATGTCAAGTTTTAAAGAGGAATTAATGTGAGGGTTGATTTAAAGTGTAGAAGGCTAATATTCTTGTAGAGAAAGAGAGGGTTACCCTTTAGATGTGTGCTTATTTTATATGCTAGCTGCTGAAAGTAGAGTGACACTTTTTTGAGTACTGGACATTCAATGTGGCATGTTGACTCCTGCAGTTGGTTCCACATTAAAAGAAAGGAAGATGGAGTTGGAAAAAAATATGAATTTGAAGAATGGACCAAAATTCTATGCATACCAAATTTCCATATATTAATGCTTTCTGGGCTGTTATTGAATCTCAGTAATATAATTTTAATCTGGGATTGTTTGTGCATATCAAAGTTCACAATCTTAATTGCACATAAATTATTATACTGTCAATGGACCGTTGAAATTTGAAATTCAGGATCACATTGAAAAATCTTATAATAATGCTCAATTTTTGAAGCATTGTTATTTCTTACTGTATTAAAAACCTTAATCGTTTAATGATGCTCAAATGTTGAAGCATTATTATTTGCTATTCCTTGGTGGATTAGTCTGTTTTGAATTAGGATTTATAACTCAAAGTTTGTGCTACTTGTTCTAGAAGAAATAGTGGTTTGAGATGCCTATAGAAGGCTTGGTATCTATCATTTACTTTTTTCTATTATCTTATGTCCCGTAGGTTAAAATCTCTCATTGAGTTTGAAAAAGACAAAGACATCCATGGACACATTAATTACTTCAGAGTGTTTGTTGTTTATATATCGCAATTTGATTGTAAGTCATAGGTTTTCACTGGGCCCTTCTGACCGTAGTCTCTAGAAGACCTGATAATAGCAAAATTAAGACAAGGGAACTATTTATTGGGTAAAAAACCTATAATGCTTCCAAGAATAGTTTTCTGGTCTCATTTGGCTCGGTGGTAGATCCTATAAGAATCCATGTCCGGTTCCAGAGTGTTATGCAATTCATTTTGGCTGTGATTCAGTGTTACAGTCTTATTTTCATCCATCACATCTGCTCATTTTGCAAAGTGGCTATGAAATTGTATTCTTGGGACATAGATGTTAATTGGTGGACCAAAATGGAAACCTCACGAGTCTTGGCTAGCCATTACAATATTTAATATGCAGCGCTGAAGTGTCTCTTTATTTCAGTGTTCTGTACTTCATAATAACTTGTTCACTTCCTGATATTTTATTAGGAGATGTTGCCAGAGTGAATGGCCAGCTTGCAGTTTCTCGAGCATTTGGAGACAAAAACCTCAAATCACACTTGCGATCTGATCCTGACATACAGCAGGCTAACATTGATGCTGAGATGGAGCTTTTGATTCTTGCAAGTGATGGTCTCTGGAAGGTCATACATCAAATTCTCTCCTCTCTCCCCATGAGTTATCAAAAAACTAATTTAACTCGAGCTAAAGTCGTTAGTAGAAGGTTCTTCATTGGTTTTTAATACAATTAACATCCTCGTCTCATGGACATTCATGTGTGAACGAATCACAGGTCCGTGCCCGACAAACCTTGTGTGGTAACCTAATTCCGACTAAGAGAGGGGATGACAAAGATCAAACTTTTGATCATTCTGTCATACAGGCTTCAAAATTAGGTCAATGGCCACTTTTAATTTTAAAAAGCATAGGATTTGTTTAAGGAGGATGGGGTGGGGTGGAAGAAAATCCACCAGTGTTTGTATGGTTTATAAAGTGGTGGGTTAGTTTGAGTTTCCTTTTTGATTAATTTGCTGGCTTAACCTTTATCATCTAATTTTTACACCCTGAACTTTCCTTTTACCCACGGCCAATATCGAAAATTCCACTTTGAGAGTGTTTGGAGTGACCGTTCACATTTTCATTAAACCTTCATACATTTAACCAAAAAAAAAAAAAAAAAAAGCCCTTTGTACAATGGAATGGAACCTCTCCCTCTTTACACTTCACCCTCCCTTCTTCAAAACTCTGAAGCAGGCCCTAAAGTTGTCTGGTGAAGGTCTACTGTGTAAAAGATTCTCCGCCGTTTCTTTTTCTTTTGGTTTTTTGTCTCTCACTTTTTTTTTAAGGGGAAAAAAAAGAGACCAAACAGCTCAAAATCTTGACCTCCACTGTTTGGAGGGGCCAAGATTGCAAGTAGCCTTATGCGGTGTCTCCAAATCGAGTAGAGAAACCGGATGAGTCTGCGATTTGTTTTATATATGATTTCTAGAGGTTTTCTAAATTGATGATGTTATTCTTATTAACATTCATTGCCAGGTGATGGCAAATCAAGAGGCAGTTGATATTGCCAGGAAAATAAAGGATCCACAAAGAGCAGCCAAACAGCTAGTAGCAGAGGCATTGAACAGGGACAGCAAGGATGATATTTCTTGCATTGTAGTTCGTTTCAGGTCATGAAACGTGGGAACTTGATAAGATAAATCATAACCCTTCAATTAGTTTGGACGTCTGTGTCTCACCAAAACAAACAAGAAAAAGTCCATCATGAATTTGCAATTCTGTGCAATATATCCTCTTCCCCTTACCCTCCTCTGTAAAATTTATTAAAAAGTCCTTGGAATTTAGGTTGTACTTTTTTGTGGTTTTGTTAGTTTCTCTTTTGTGTAGATTCATACCATCATTTTTCTCTGTAACTTGGGTTATCAAACGGGGCACTGTGAAAATGGCCATAGTTTTTTCCCCCTTTTTTCCTTTTTATTATTTTTGTTTTTTGACTTCATTGAACATGGGATGTATGCATTTTGTATAAACTTTTAGTGTATGGTATATGGGAATGCCCCTTAGTTTGAGCGGCTTAATTTCATCTCATGCTAGAGTGCAAGCGAGTTAAGAAATTAAGAAATTATTTTAAGTCATTTTATTTCCTAATTACCTTTTTTTTTTTTTTTGGCTGCATTAATTGCAAAGTTCTTGTCTTGAACAGATATAAATTCTTTTTTCCCGAAGGAACATTGTGATTGTCTTTAGAAAATGTGCATTATTGCTATATGCTTGTCAAGTATGAAGGGCCTTGAAGCGATTTCCTTTTTTAAAACTGCCAATGAGAATGAAGATTGGCTGTTCTTTCCACGGATCGAGCCTTCCTCAATTGAGTCTTAATTAAACAATATATATTAACCATTGAACTGTGATTAAATAGCACTGAGGAGAAGTTATAAAGGCAAAAGCGAACCCTAGTCCCTTAATTTCATGAGGTCTTTTTTTAATTCTTTAATTTCAGTGTTAATATATTAAATGTATTTTTTTAAAAAAACAATTTTTATAAAAATTATTTACAGGGAACCATGTTTAGACTAGAGGACTAAGGGTGGAAATAGGTCAGACGGCCTGTCAGGGGCCTATGGCCTGGCCTACATTTGGCCTGGCCTGTTTTCCAAAAATGACAGGCTCAAGCCTGTTTGGTTAAACAGGCCAGGCTTAGGCTTTTTAAAAAGCCTGTTAAACCTGTTAGGCCGGCCTGGGCCTGTTAAGAATTTATAATTATAATATATAAAAAATTAATTAATGCTATTATTGCTAATGTGTTTTTTAATTTTTTTTAATTTTAATATATAGTTAATAGTTTAATCTTTTCTTAGATTTTGAAGTTTAGATAACAAGTGAAGATAAAAATATAATTTAAAATAATAATATTAATAAATAATGTGATTTTTAAATCTTAAAAATATAAAAAAATAGGAAAGAAAAATTTTGTTTCAAGAATGATAAATTAACTAACTTACGTATTATGTTAATTTAAGTATGATATCCTCTTTATTCATTATAAAATTATTATTTTTTTCCTCTTTACTTATTTGTCTTAATTTTAATTTTTTGTGTGTACTTAAACGTAGTCTTATTCCAAATTTTAACATATAATTACAATTAGTTTTCAATAACATTCTTATAAATTATAATTAAGATTTAAAATAGTAGTTATGATACTAAAATTTAAATAAAAGACAAAACTAAAAATTTAATTATTATATACGTTTTTTTAATCTTAGCTTTTTTTAAAAAATAATTATTATAATTTGAATTTTTTAAAAATACAGGCCTTTTAACAGGCTTCAGGCCAGGCCAGGCTCAGGCCGAAAAATAAGCCTGTAACAGGCCACAGGCCAGGCTCAGGCTAATAGGCTCCAAAACAGGCCTGGCCTGTTAAGAGCAAAGCCTGGTCTGACCTGGCCTGTTTCCACCCTTAAACTGAAAAAATACTTGTTAAATTTAAGAAATTGAATCGAAATTTTGTGTAATTTTTTTAAATAATAAATAAATGTTTCCACCTCAATACTATACCATCATGATCTAATAGTTGTGTTCTTTGATTGAGGGAGATTATGGTAAGAAATTCCTTTCCGCCTGCCGCCGTTTTTTTGTTTTTGTCTGAATCAGTGACAATACCTTGAAGCGAAAGCGCACGATACCATTTTCTTTGCTGGGCGACGCCCTTGTCAGCGTTGTCACATACCTTCCTTTTTCCTAAACCCTCCCAAAACCCTCGAATATCTCTGAACGTTTTCTAATATTTCCTTCTTATACACACTTCCTTGGTCTCTCTCTGTTTCGATCATGTCCAGATCATTAAAACTTATTAAGGAGAATGCTTCCAACCCGAAACTCTGGTTAGTCATCGGAATCGGTGTTGCCGGGATCGTGGTTCTGGCGGAGACGCAGAGGAGACGACGAAAGGTGAAGACTTTGAAGGAGGGTTTTGGTGCTTTTGTTGAGCGTTTTGAGCTACTGCCTTTCCCTCAGCCTCCTCCTCCTGCAGCCAAGCAAGCGCTTTCTGGACTAACATTTGCCATAGCCGACATGTTTGTTTCTGGAGACCTAATAACTCTTTGCTACTTTTTTTTTCCCCCTTTTCCTTATTCATTTGGAAAATATGAAAGGGAATTTCGTTGACAGTAATAGTCTTTGATGTCAGTGTGTGAGTGTCTAGTTAGTCCTGTTTAACTTATTTTTAGTTCATCGTGCAATGCTTGTTGTGGGGATTGGCAGTTTTGATGTGAAGGACTATGTGACGGGGTTTGGAAATCCTGACTGGAAGAAGACGCATGAGGCGGCGGAGAAGACTGCCATGGTGGTGACTGCGCTGTTGAAGAGCGGGGCTACTTGTGTCGGGAAGACTGTTATGGATGAATTGTCTTTTGGGTAGGAATCTTTATGTTCATTACTTCCATTAATCAGCTGTAAAAGAAATTTTAGGAGTGATATTTTCAAGACGTTGTCAGAATTTCGGGTGAGAACAAGCACTATGGAACTCCAACAAATCCTCAGATGCCATCGTGTATTCCAGGGGGTTCTTCGAGTGGTTCAGCAGTTGCAGTTGCTGCTGGGCTTGTTGACTTCTCCATTGGTGAGTTTGCATAGTCCTCTCTAATTGCTTGAAATGCTAATTAGTGTATTTGACGATTTTTTTTTAATAGTTATTTTGTTACTTTTGGAGCTGCCACTTCGTATTGTTCAGGGCGTTTTGATGAAACTATGAGATATTAAATCTGAAGTTAGATGCTTGGAGAATTTGCCCCTCATTTTTCCATTTCAATTTTTGTATAACATCTACATATGTGAAATAATTATCTCTGTTTCCTGATTCTTTAGACCTAATTTTAATGCTTCTTACTGTTTGACTTGAGCACCAACCTGCTGACAGTAAATTTTGTTTCTTGTTGATCTATACATGATAGCAGCATCAATTTCATGATTCTTAGTCTAGTATTGTGATCTCTTCAATTGGTATGTGGAGCATTGCTCCCTATGCGTGGTCTGTTTCTTGTTTTGTCTAGAATATGCTTATGTGCATCGTGACTAATATTATGCTGATGAGAACCATCTGCTTTCGTTTTCTTGATTAATATATGTGAACGCGGAGGAATATTGTGTTTCTGCAGGTACTGATACTACTGGAGGTGTACGAATACCAGCATCCTTTTGTAGTATTCTTGGATTTCGTCCATCTCATGGGGCTGTATCCACAGTTGGGGTTCTTCCACATGCACAAAGCTTGGACACTGTTGGTATGAAACTTTATTACACGTTGATGCTTTGATTTGACACTAGTTAATTGGACCAATTAGATACATCGGTTGATGAATTTACAGATGATTCTACTCCTATAGTGTTTTACATAGTTTCAATGCTGTGGCATTTGCCAGGGGATGAAGTGGTGTTTATGGGTTCACTTTGGTAGTGTGTGTGGGTGTTTAAAAGGAGTTTTTCCTTTTCTGATTTTCAGAGAGATTGGTCTTCTATGTTGCACATTTGCTTTTCTGTAGCTTCATTTTATGGCCTTTCTCATTCTCTTTTCTATTATATTAATTATCCTTTAAAGCAGTGCCGTTTCTTTTACCTACCATATAAAATGATCTTTCATTCCCAAAAAAGACGTCATTTTTTTCTTAAAAAAAAATTGAAATGTTATTCTTCTAATTGCTTATCTTTTCTTTCTTCTTTCTTCTTCTTCTTCTTCTTTTTTATTTTTTTTATTTTAATGTGTCAGGATGGTTTGCCCGTGATCCATCTGTACTATGTCATGTTGGAGATGTTCTACTTAAGTTAAACTCGGTGGAGCCTAGAAGAGCAAGGCGTATTATATTTGCAGATGATCTCTTTCAATTGTCTAAAGTTCCTATGCAGAAGACAGTATATGCAATTAGCAAAGCGATTGAGAATTTGTCCGGGTGTAAGTTCTTGGACTTTTGAAGACTGATTGTTTGTGCTTTCTATCTATTCATCCTTCCTGAGCATGTGGTCTAATATTAAACCACTGATTTTATAAAATGCATCCATTTCTTGTTTAAAAGAATTATTGATGTTTGTCAGTATTAAACCACTGAAGTGTTTTGGTCCCCTTCTTTTTTTTCTAAACAGATCAGTCATCAAAGCACATGAATCTTTGTCAGTATATTGCTTCTAATGTACCCAGTCTAAAAGGGTATTGTCAACAATCAACCCGCGAACAAAATGGAGTACTCTTATTGAAAGCTCTTGCTTCTGTCATGTTTTCGTTACAAGGGTAATCTACATGTTTTAAGGTTTCATCATCAAAACTCCACCAATAAATTATGTTATGTTTCATATTGTATGTGATGCTTATTTATATTTCTTTCTGATAAAAGAAAGTTACTGAGTAGAAAGAAAAGATATTTTGCAAGAAAAGACAGAATTATGATCTCTAAGTGCAAATATAAGTAGACAGAAAATCAAGACAATAAAGCTTACTGGGATAATTTTTTTTTTTCGGTTTCTTTTGTTTTTTTGGGGTGGTGTGTCAGGATTTATAAGAGATTCTCTGGGATAAGGCCTGTTTTTGTCGCTATTTGTTTTTATTGTTCATATTCATGGTTTGGATCTTTCTTCAGAACTCCATTAAGTGCACCGTTGTATTCTTTTCCGTAGGGAAGCCCATTTAAATTTGGATGCTTCATTGTGAATTATGATGCTTAAAAGGCAGTGTATTCATTGTCATGTGGTATTAATTGTGTAGGAAGGCTGTCATCTTATATATGCTTTTCCTTTTGTGTATCCTCTCTGCTCAGGTGCAAGTGACCATGGCAGGAAAATAATGAAATGTAATGCATAATGCGAAAGTATTCAGCAACTGTTGCGTCTAGCTCAGGAAAATCTGGAACTGATAAAAAGCAAAAGCTAAAGTTTACTCATAGTTTTTCTGAGAGGTCAAGGCTATTGTGGTTCTAGTTTTTATATAACATAATATGTTTAGGGTTTTATGCTTTATGCTAAAGTTTTTCTTGGCCAGAACGTTGTATTAAAGAAGGGAAACTCAACCCCCCCCCCCCAAAACATGGTTTACTTTGATGAGAGAGTAACTATTTGATTGTTGGTAGGCAATACATTACCCTAGCACTCACTCATTCTTTTAGGGATGAGAAGGAAGTTTATTGAAGAGAAGAGGAAACAATACAAGGACAGTGAACATTGCGTACACTGGTTTATAAATTATTGTGGCTGAAAAATTTACCTGACATTCATAACGTTCAGTGGGAACTACACGAAAAGGGAGTCTGTAAAATCTATAATCCTTTCTGGTGTTGTACTTATGTCTGAAAGATTGTGCCATCTTTGAAATATCAGTGGCGGATTGGCAATATGCTTATTCAACACCTAGTTTTCTTTTCTTTTTCTTTTTCTTTTTCTTTTTTCTTTTTTCTTTTTTCCCTTTTTCGGGATTTTTTTTGGGGGGGGGGTATGACCCCTACTGTTTAGTGTTCTGGAAGCTTAAATATTTTGTTATTTTTCTAATTTGAAACATATAGTTGGCAAAATATTAGTTTCATTCAAAGCAGGTCTAGGTGTTGCGCATTTGTTAGTGCTTCCTGTTTTTAGGCAAAATGAAAATGTGAATCCGTTTGGAAAATTTTCCATTCTCTTTAAAATTTCCTATCAAATGGATTAGCATTTTGATGTTTTTGTCGTGACCGGTTTAAAGGCTAGGAAACATGGATATTGACATGGACATGGGACACAACACTCACATAAACACAGCAACATGACAGATTTTGAAGTGTTTGATTGCATTTTAAAGTGTTGTGTTGCAGCTACTACGATTGTTTTACATGTGTCAGACATGGGCACAGCTCTTTTTTGAAGCGTCTGCATTATATTTAAAAGGCTTCTTAGTGTTCTTTGCAATTAATGGTGGTTAATCATTCAAGTACATGTCATGTAGTGTGATCATATCCCTTTTTCGTTAGAATATGCTGTACCAAAAATTTCTGTTCAGAGCTTGATTCCTTTTGACAAACTAAGGGATTCTTGTATCTTCTTTTCAGATATGAGTTCAAAACAAATCATGAAGAGTGGATTGAATCAGTCAAACCCCGGTTAGGTTGTGATGTGTGTGATCATGTTAGGGCAGCCACTGGTGCCACGTATGATAACATAAAAATATTGTACAAAGTTAAGAATGAGATGCGAGGTGCTTTTCAAAGTTTATTGAAGGTACCATAACATCTGCGGTTATTCCCTCAGTAGTTTTTATTGCAATTTTATTAATAATTCAAGATTTAAATGATTTTACACCAAAAATGAAATAGAAAGATATGTTGTTGTTATTTTCCATTCTCATGCAGATCTCCTGATATTAGAATGACCGGTAATTTATTTATCTGTTTTTTGTTCTTATAGTTGATATCCTAACTATTTTTCAGTTTGCTTTCCAATTTGCCTCTGAAATTTCTTGAGAAGTAAGTAATCCTTACACCCGTAGCATCATTTAGGCAGGAGCGTATCTTATTGCAGCTAAGCATGACAAGTCTTTATTTAATTTTACATATTCTTGTGAAAAACGTGTATTAGGATATATAATTCCAAGTCATAAACATCTCGCCACATTTGTTTCTTAATTTGTAAGAAACATATGGAACTTCCATGAAGATATCTTCCCGAAGATTTGACCTGTTTCATGGGAGAAACAAATGTTATGAATCTGCACCTTGGGACTTGGATTTAGATTTGTTGAAACTGTTCATATCAGATACCCCATTTAAAACGATGTTCTGAATTTTGAACGTGGCGTAAAGTGGAACTGGAGAAGTTTCACTTGTGTGCTTTAGCTGGAGAGTGTTCTGGTCATTTGGATTCAGAGGACTCTGTCCTGAGTGAGTTCACTTCAATATCAATACCTTTATCAAGTTGTCATGACGTATTGTTCCAGGAAATTTTTGTGGAAGCAAAAAATTTGAGCTTAATGATGCCCTAATTATCATTCTTGAGGGCTGAATATCATGATTATGAATAGATGTTCAGAGCACTAGGATAAAGCTGATACATAAATTAAAACTAACATATCTTGACAGAAATATAGGGTCAGAAATTAAAATTTAAAGTAAAATTATCCCAAAATAAGATGATAAATAACCTAATGTCTTCTAGAATAAATAAAAGGTGATATTACTTTATAAAAAAAAAGTGATATTAGAGAAGTTACCAAATTATAATAAAACTACTTAAATGGGAAAATATGCTGAATGATACGATATTTAGTCTGTGATATTCAAGGGTTACTGAAGAGTGAAAAATTGTAGGGTAGGTGGAAAATAGAAGATTAAGTAGTCTGGTATAACAGGACATCTTCAAGTGAAAATAGGGAAGGCATTATATGACATAAAATTCTTGAGACATTGTTTTACTCTAATTGGAAGATAACTGAGATCTTTGATTCTCTTACGAAGTGGCAAAATAATTTGGCAGTTCTATTGTCTGCACATGTTAGCCTCTTACCATCTCTGTTCTGATTGTACCAGGACGATGGAATACTAGTTATTCCCACTGTTGCAGACAGTCCTTTAAAGCTTGATACAAAGAAAAGGTTTTCTTCTGAGTTTTATGACAGAACTTTCGCATTGTCAAGCATTTCTAGTATGTCTGGATGTTGTCAGGTAATGTAAAGTGTTTTAGGATTCAAATATGATCCTTTTCTCCCTTTCTCTATTAGTTATTGATCTGACACTTCACACTTTGATTGACTTATATAATAGTCTTGCATCATTTACAGGTTACAATTCCATTAGGATATTCCAATGATTGCTCTGTTTCTGTCTCATTCGTCTCTTTCCATGGAGCTGATAAATTTCTTCTTAATACGGTCTTGGATATGCATGCAACTCTTCAACAGCAAGTTAGTGATGTATCCTCCTGTTCTTTGTCGTTCTCAGATATGAATGGTAGCATGGAAACTTCAGAACTTCTGAAGGAGAAGGTTAGTTTTCTCTTGGCATTTTATCATCCTAGACATTTTTTCCTTAAAAAATTGTTAATTTAATCTAATCTTAATAATGTCAAATTTCATTTTGGAAGGGATAATTATCATGCCATGAGCAACTTTTTAAGTTTCAGATTTGAAAATTTTGAAGTCCATTATGTAAATAGCCCATATTTTATGTTTCTATGATTTAGCTTATGTAGACCTAATTGCCCCAACATAAACTTAAATACTTTATCATTTGAGGTTCGGAAATAATTCAGGCCAGAGAAGAAGTTCAGAATAATTGGTTACGTTAGTAAAATGGGGATGATATTTATGAATCATCTGAGTTGGTAAATAAGGTTTTTACATTAGACAATGTAAAATGGCGTTTTAGAAGTGTGATGTTTAAATGCAATGCTAATTCGTTTGTGTAATAAGCCTGGCCCAGTTGTCTGTGCGCATAATCATTTGTATGTGTATTTAACCACTATTATGAGATGGGCTGAGTATGAGTTCCAGTTATACGCACTTAGTTTAGACCATTTTGATAGCAGCTTTTATAGCTGTAGGGTGAATTTTATCTAAGCTATTCAAGAAGATCCCGTTGTCGAATGTGTGTGCTGCAGTAGGAAGCAGGTTTGTAGGGTTTGGCATAACATGGTTTCTAATAGAAGAATCTTATTCAGGGAAATGCAGCATTTAAGGGAAGGCAATGGAATAAGGCAGTTAATTACTATACTGAAGCTATCAAGCTGAATGGATTGAATGCAACTTACTATTCCAATCGAGCAGCTGCTTACTTAAAGTTGGGATGGTATGGAGGTTTTTACCATTTATCAATTTTCACTTCCATCTTTTACATTCTTTTCTCTGTCTGATATGTGCTTTCGTTGTGGGATTTGCAGCTTTCAGGAAGCAGAAGACGACTGCAATAAAGCTATACTACATGATAAGAAGGTACGAAGACGGGCAAGGGGCAGTGACTACTTTTATTTGTTTGTTTGTTTATTTCGGCCAAAAGCAGTTAGTAATTTTTTTGAAATTATAATGTTTTAACTCGTAGATATCAGTTGCACGATAGGATCTTCCTAATATCATGATGAATGTTACAATATGTAAAGTTCATAATATCATGATCGGTATTACGATATGTAAAGTTTTATTGCCAACTTTGCCAAAAAAACAAGTTCTATTACTGAAAGGGGAGAAATGAAAATCAAAGTTCTGGTCACACCATGATATGTGAGGGTATCTGTCTTAAGGAGCAGACGAGTAGCAACTGAATCACTCGTATCATTGGATACCCGCCAAATCTGCCATCTACTGTTTATATTGCGTCTCAATTTTGCTAAGAATAGTGTGTTGTTATTTCCATGCAGAATGTGAAGGCATATCTGAGACGTGGAACTGCTAGAGAATCACAACTACGATATAAAGAGGCTTTAGAAGGTGTGTCCTGATCTTTAAAGAATCACCTGAAATTTCGTTAAAGAACTGGTTTTGAAATATGCCAAGTTTACAGGGGCCATTTCCAGGCAATTTCCTGTATTTTAGATTTAGATGTCCAAGATTGCCTAGACTTTTGCATTTCAAATTTGTTTTCCTGATTCTTGAAGCCGCAAGTTTTTCATTACTGCAGCATGATCCTAAACATCTATGAAAAATATTGAGATTTTATGGAGAAAAATAATATTTTGGGAACTTTTACTTCATATTTTATATCTGCAAAATTTTTCTTTTTAACCTTTTTCAATTTCTCATGCTATGCAGATTTCAAGCATGCTCTGGTTCTTGAACCACAGAACAAGACTGCAAGCGATGCTGAGAAAAGAATCAGAAAATCGATGAGTTGAATTTGGCTCTCTTAGAAAACATTTCCCCTTGACTTCCCTCCCTGCTGGAGAGAATGTCAATGGCTGCTGGAAAATGAGACTTTGGATTCTTTTCATTACTGTCTATCTTCGAAGTGCAGGTGACTTGAAGAGGACGGAGTAGACGTGCCTATGTTGATTAGGTGCTGCAAATTTTGGTCCTTTTATGTGTATATTTTATTTTATTTTTTGGTTATATAATAAGTTTGTATATTTGCGACTTTCGATATACTTTTACTTTGTGTCATTGGGGGAATGACTAGCTTTGTACAAGAATTATAAACCCTGTTAATTCGTTGACTGCAAGAATTTCATGTTTACAGCCTAAGGTCAGAAAGTGGGCTATATGTAGCTAAGGGTGAAAATAGGCCAGGCGGCCTGTCAGAGGCCTGTGGCATGGCCTAGCCTATTTAATGCTACATAATGTAGCATCCATGTGATGCAAAATGGATGGTCAAGCCTGGTGTGGATAGGAAAGAAAAAGGAATAGTTACTATTTATAGCAGGAAAATTTTATTGGCAAATGATGTACAGTTTATTTCTCACGAGAAAAATGAAAAATGTTTCATTGGCTCTGGAGTGAAAATAAAAAGGGGTAATTGATCATAAGTTTGAGTAGAAAATTAATTATGCAAAGATGTTTGGAATGTGTTTAAAGAGTCAGGTGGAATGTGTTTTCAACTGGTAAAATTTTGGAAAATCCGCACTGGGGATACATGTATATTTTTTAATTTTCAATTTTCAATGTATTTTATGCAAAGGTGTATTTTGAACTATTTTTAATTTTGCTTTATTAAAATCTTTAACTTTTGCATAAAGATTAAAAATGCTAAAAAAACAAAGTTAAAAGAGTATTGCTAAAAATATAAAATTAAATAATTTTAAGAGAAAAAAGTACATAGGTATTAAATTAAAAATTGGAAGTAAATATTTTTCTAAAATTTTTCTTTATGTTTTAAATATGCTTATATTATGTAAGGATTGAGTCTTTAGTAGCTTTGCATAATTAACTTTAGTTAATTGGGATTTTTTGAACAATATTTCCAAATAATAATCAACAGTGATTCTGTTAATGAAATCAAATTGGATCAAACTCATCCTTTTTTTGGTTACCATATACATGGAACTAAAGTTTAGTATTCTTTTAGTTTTAAATATAACATCCATTTTGTAATGTAATTTACACTACAAATTTACACTACAAAATGGATCTTATATTTAGAATCGAAGGGAGTATTTCTTTTAAGAAATATTTTAATCAATATAAAATTCTGCCAATCCAATCCCAAATAGCTGACTTCTCAATATATTTTTTCTTTTATTTGCGGATGCAATTCTCAATATCTTTTTTAGTAACCTAGTAGTCTAATTACATCAATATAGGCATACGTTTAAACTAAATATAAACTTCCTTAAAACTAAAATAAACCTCTAAAATATGAGATTTATTTATTTATTTGCCACAATAAGTTCTGAGATTGCTAATTTTAAGGAGAAGTAATTTTAGAATAAATAAAAATTGAAAAACACCACCAATTTTTCCGGCCAGAAGATATACAACGTTCAAATACTGGATTCCAAAAATCACTCTGGAATACCCAACAAGATCAATTGTATTTCTTGGATTCTTTTGCCTTTCGGTTTGGCCAATAACTGTTTTTTCTTCGCGTCCTTAAAGCCTCCAAGGAATATCTTATTCCCGCAACCAAACAAACCGAAAACCTGTTGCATGTACCAGTTTCCTGAATTGGCAATTCTCTAATCTCAATCCTTGCATGTCGATGCCTGCTTCCTCTTCATCTTCTCTCGACACGTCCTGTTTCCCTTTTATATGTCATCGGTATAGACGCTTCGCTTAATTTCTGTGCGAGGAAGAAGACAACAAAGGAACAGGAAGACTCCACCGATTCAAACCACAATAAATTAGAAGAGAAAGAAATCCAATTGATTATCACGGAAAGGAAAAAAAAAAAAAAGAGAATAACGACCCCATTGTCAAATTTTTGTGAAGTATTGAGATTTGAAACCCCGTCATGTTTTCTAAATCTTCTAAATGCTTCAGCTTCACCGTGTACAGAGATTGGCTTTACCGTTATTCATTCACGAACGCCGGCCTCCGATCGGTTATAACCGACCTCGGTGATGGGACCACCATTCATTGTTGGGTTCCCAAATCCCTAAAACCGAACAAACCTTCGCTTATTCTCATCCATGGATTTGGGGCAAACGCAATGTGGCAATACGGTGAGTACCTTCGGCATTTTGTCCCCCGTTTCAACGTCTTCGTGCCGGACCTCCTCTTCTTCGGCGAGTCATCTACGTCGCGTCCCGAGCGGACGGAGTCGTTTCAGGCTCTATGCGTGAAGAAGCTGATGGAAGCACATGGGGTGTGGAGGATGAACGTGGTGGGGATTAGTTATGGTGGCTTTGTGGGGTACAGTGTGGCGGCGCAGTTCCCGGAGGCGGTGGATAAATTGGTGTTATGTTGCTCTGGGGTATGCTTGGAAGAACAGGATATGAAAAATGGATTATTTAAGGTTTCGGATTTGGAAGAGGCTACCAGCATTTTGGTGCCACAGACGCCTGAGAAGCTCAGAGAACTGATGCGGTTTTCGTTTGTGAGGCCTGCCAGAGGCGTGCCTTCTTGGTTCCTTACTGATTTCATTGAGGTAAGCTTCTGGATTTTCTGCTTTGAAACGTGAATTTGTTTGTGTGTTGAAGTTTCAAATTCAGGGAAAGCATAAAGAACAGAGAGTCCTTGTTTCTTCTTCTTCTTCTTTTTTTTTTTTTTTTTTTTGCTGCCAACAAATAGAGTCCTAATTAATGACTACATATTTTTGGTATATCATGATGACTGTACCCTCGTAAATCTCCTCCCCCAAGGGTATGCCTACTTTTTGAGTGCTAAGGAATTTTCTTCTGAAGAAACAGGGTGACAATGAGATATATCGTCCCTGTCAATTAACTCTTTGGTATATCTCATGTATATGTTGATATACATATTGTGGATCTCAATATATTAGTTTATATTTATAATAAAACCTTTAGCAATTTGTCATGAACATTTTTCAAATTCTATGTGATGCCCAGGCAAATGTTTTTAGTTTATGACTCTATTTTACATGACATAAAGCTGATATAAGATTCTAGTACGACCAAAGCTAGAATCTCTTTTAATTAAGGTAACTTTTACTAAGTAGGAAATGACATATGAAACAAATCTGACTGTTCTATCAAAGTAGTTTGGATTTTGTGGAGCCTTCCTTTCGTTCACCACCCTTGCTTGCAGATAGGTTCCTGATCATATGATTTTTTTTTCTTTTTTCTGGGGATCATATGAGAAGTTGGAAGCCCTGATTTTTTCCTTTTCAATAACGCACCTAAACTTGTAATGGAACTCTGTTGTCTCGAAGTGTGTATGTTATCCTTATTTATCAAACTTACAAGATGGGTGTGTATTGGATTTGCGACAACGCTGTACTATTTTAGATCATCACCTGTATTTTATATGTGATCACTGTGGAATATCCTCATTAATTTTGAGACTCAGCGATATAATTAAGATTCAGTTTATCTTGGCAAATGAAGGCTACTGCAAATGAATTGAAGGAAATTACCACAAAAATGCGATTGTAAAATGAAATTTTCGGCTAAACGCTCAAAAGATGATGTCATTCAACTCATACTTGAGAATTCTGTGCTTGAACATTCATTCAGAAAGAAGTCAAACCAGCAAAATGAGCTTAAATCTCATATTTAAGAGGCTGAAATTCTTGTGCTTAAGGCTTGTACTGATACGGAAGTTAACTTATTTTATGACATCATTCTGTAGTTTATCATTGTCTCTTCATCTTCTCAGATAATTAACTGTGTTCTTGTTAATTAATTTGGACAGGTGATGTGTATGAAACATGTTGGAGAGAAGAAAGAACTCATTGCAGCAATACTCAAAGGTCGACACCTTTCCAACCTTCCCAAGATCACCCAGGTAGATTCCTCACTGTTACGGACATAAATGTCATGTATGCATACTGATGGACAATTTTAGTAGTATCTTACCTGCAGATTCTTTAAATATGAAAGTGTAGGAATATGGCCAATTCTTTCCTGGCACTGTGTCATTCTTGATCATATTTTGCTTTTGCTGTCAAGATTTTTAACGACGCATACCACTTATTACAGCATACTGTTATATGTCCTCGCTTGTCATAATTTTACCGAAGATTTGGATATGAAACACCTGACTGCATTGTGCTTTTGATTTAGAGAAAATAGTATGTCAGTGTTATTTCTTACAAGTTAGCTACCATTTCCGCTATGTTTAATTTGTCATACTTTTTCTTATGGTACAATAATGACACAGATTCAAACTCAGGAACTTACAAGAATACTCTAGTTCTTAGAATCTTGTACTAGAATGGATATCTTGCCAGTTACAACTTACAACAAAGCCAGACAATTTGCTTTCTCTTGATGCATTGACTCCTAATTTTCTCTTTCAAAATATGCTAGTGAATCAAAAGAACAAAAATCGTACTCTCTTTTTTAATTTTAAAAATATTGTGGGATTCTATTTGAACAGTCTACATTAATTTTATGGGGAGATCAAGATCAGGTGTTCCCTCTGGAATTAGCCCTCAGATTAAAGAGGTGAGGTTTTATTACTCATAATTGGCATCTGATATAATTTGAAAAACGATTGAAATGTGAATATTTTCTGGGACAGTCATATCGGAGAAACTGCTCAAATGGCAGTTATTAAGAATGCAGGGCACGCTTTGAATATAGAGAAGCCTAAAGAATTTGCCAAGCACTTAAAAGCATTCCTTATTGGACCACAGTCATGTAACCACTCACCTTCTATCAAAGAACAGATTCAGAAGACAATATTTGACTTCCACAGGTCATGACAGAACATATCCCAAAGCATCCACAAGCTGGAACCACCTTTATTTATAGTGCTTTCTGCTTCAAAAGTGAGAGAAATTCTGAAGTATCGTGTAGAAACAGCGCCAAAAACGACATGCGGGATGCCGGGATCCATGTGCCAACTTGTTATCTCTACACTATATGATGCTTGAGATTTTTTCCAAAAAAGAATGTATGGAAAGATCAATGCTTTCTTCATGTGATGGTAAGTGGATCAATCAGTACATGCAACCAAGTCTGATGCAGAGGAGCCTCTGTTTCTTTTTCACGAAATTTCCAGAAACCTATGTACAGTGACGAATGGAATGCCAGTTTAACGTACATATTACGTATAATACTGTTATCTTTAATTTGTTTTCACACTTGTTCTTACTGTGATTATGCTGTATTGAGCTGGCAAGTTATGTTCAAAGTTTCACAGGCAATGATTTTCATCATGGTTTTTCCTTTAAGCCAATTTAGGTTCAAATTCCCCATCTTGTTCCAATTAAGCCCAGTTTTGTGTGTGTATAAGAGAAGAGAAGGATAATGAATACAATGATAATGAGAATATAGTTTATTCCCCACAGAGTATTAGGCATATAAAGCCTAAATTTAAGGAGAATGACAGTAAGGTATCAAAAGACGCCAGACAATTTCTGAAAATTGAGTTACAAATATTAATTCGATTTTTAAAGACATATTTATTTTCTGCCATCATGAGCATTGCAAGCTCATATATTTGCTTCTCTTTATTATTATTTCAGTACTTATATTTGCTTCATTATTACTGCTTCATATTACAACAGGCCTTGAATGAATGTCAAATTTCTCAGAAGATGAAAGCTGCGGCTCCTGCAAATAATATTAGGAAACCACATTCATTAGAATCAACTTCTTATAGAATAATGAACAAAACTCATAAAACTGAATAAAATCATAAAGTAAACCAACAAATTTAAGTTGAACTCAATGACTACATACAAATTAAACGAGCAGGTTGTCAGTTTTAGATCCGTTTAAACAATGTTATAAAACTGCATAGGTGTTTACTTCAAAACTAGATATTGCAATGAAAATGTACAGAGACTAATCCAATATTAGAATCAATAGATCATAATCATAAATTAAAAGAAGAGAAGTGATGTACATGGACATAATGCTGAGGATGGTTAATGTGGAATCTTTGCTGATAAGCATTTAAGCCAATTTGGGACTTGGCTTCAATAACTATGGATCTCATTGAATGAAGTAAGTGGCCATAGCTCATTCCTGGTTGGTTTTTCATGGCTTGGATGAAACTCACTGTCAATGCTCCCCCATTCATTCCAAATACCTATCTCATCCATCATCAACCCATGCCCAAAAAAAAAAAAAATCAGTTCATTTCCAATTTAAATCCCAACAGGATAATTAACTAACTCCAACAAGGGATCTGAATATCTTATCATGTTTTCTTGCTCCCCCCCCACCCCTAATGAAGTCACTGGGTTCTTACGAGATCTTTAAGGTTAGTACAGGCCATAAATATTTAATGAAATTGGTCATATATTCAAACAAGAAAATTAATGCAAATAGGTGATATTTTTAATATCAATAGATCTCAATGGATTTAATATTTATAAGTTATGAATTGCGTCATTAACAAGTCAAACTTATAACTATTAAATAATATTAAATGAAATTAAGAAAACATACTTATATTTGATGTTTTTATCTTGAATCTACCCGAAATTTTTCTCATAACTTAATAATCACATGCCATTGGTAGCATAAAACAAATAAGGATTCAATATTACATTCAACATTGTGAATCTATCCCTACTTCATGTTATGCACTTAACCTAACAATCAAATTAAGGGATATTTAAGAATGGAGAAAAGAGAAAACTAACCGAGGTGTCTCCAGAGGATCCGTTGTCATCACAGGCAGATATGCATATAGCAAGCCCTCCATTGGTACCTTTATAATGAGGTTTCCCTCTCACATGATCTTCCCATCCATATTCACCAAACCTGTTCATGCGGCACATGAACCCTAAATCAAGAACTGTTCCGCTACTGCAAGTATCAATGATGGCGTGCAGTTTGGCTCCCGCCGGCAGAGGCTTCACCAGAACATCGTTGATGATGTCGTCTCGTAACTTTCCGGCATCCTCGTAATCTACCGGACATAGTGCTTCGTCGTAGCCGTCGTCCTCGTCCATGTCGTTATCGGCCATCCTTGATCCATGGCCTGAGTAGTGGAACACCAGTGAGTCGCCTGCCTTGCATCCCCTCACCAGCATCTTCATTGCCTCTATCATGTTTGCTTTTGTCGGCATTGTTTTCCAGTTACTATTCTCATCGTCTGCACATATACATTCATAGCTTCCTTTATCAAAAGGAAGGTTACTCTTGCCATAGCTTAATATACAAACTAACTTAAAAGTTGAATTTGGTGCCAAACACAAGATTTTCATTCCCTCTTTTTTTTTTTTGGGGAAAAACAAGTATATTAAATTTATAAACTTATATATATATTTAGATAAATATCTTAATATATAAGAATGGTGGAGATTCAATTTGGTTGTCTTTCATATTTATTTATTTATTTTAAAGTAATCCTTACAGTAATTATATATATTAAAGGTTTTTCATTATATGAAAGTTTCATCACACATAATTAATAAGTATAGTTTAGAAAAAACAACATACATTTATTACACATAATTAACTTAATTAATTTTTTTTAATATTTGTAAATTAGTTATGATATTAAAGACTACGATTATTATAATCTAATATTATGTATAGGTATTTTGAAGAGATTATGTCCCATTTGTCATAATTAATCAATTGATTTGATTTCTTTAATCTTCCAAAATTAATTAAATAGCTAATCATATTAAGGACTAGAAGTTATGATGTTGTACATAGTATTCCCTTCTGTCTTAAATACAAGAGTTACATCACTAATTTAAAGAGATTAAAAACACTAATTCAATTAGTTATTCATAACAAATGTGTACTTATTTTTTTCTAAAATACCCCTTTAATTATTTATGTTAAAACTTTTTTTTAATAAAAACCCTCTTAATACACGTAATCAGTAGAGTTATTTAGAAAATTATAAATTATAAATTTTTCAAATAAATTGAATCGAGGTAACATATTTATGATTAGGCAATCTTCAAAATTTTGTACCTCTGAGGACGACAATGGAATGAGGAGAGAATCCAAGGTTTTCAATGAGGAAGGCTTTCATGCGCAGGACATCGTTGACTGAACCCTTCAGAGCATGCGGTCCGTTCCCGTAAGTGATTCCACACAGCAACGCCCTCTTGTTGCCGCCGCCGCCGCCGTAGAATGGAGAAGGACCACCCATCACCGGTGGTGCTGCTAGTTGTGGCTGTGGCCTCATCACCACCGGCCTCGGCTGTGGCCGGTAATACCCGCCGGCCCAGCTGTTGTACCGAGCCGGCGGAGCTCTATACCCGTTTCCCTCCCAGTTGTTGGCTTGGCAATAATGTGGCACTCCCAGTGGCTTACCACACTCGCAGAATCTCCCTCTCCTGCATGCCATTTCCCCAAGACTGAGAAAGAGAATGGATCCCAACGAAGAACAGAGGTTGAAGAAGCTATATAACTATATATTTATATATTTATATATATATATCAATGTAAACGGTGACTCATAATTATACTGTGTGTTGAAGCTGGTATATATATTAGGATGCATGTGTATATGGTGAGGCACGCATGTATCAGAATCAGATGCACTCGTATTTATTAATTTGAAGGTGGAGAGGGAATATATACATATATATATATATATGTATGTATGTATGTATGTTTGTATATATCTCTGGTTATTGGATCTCTTTATAGTAGAATTGGACTTGAGGCCTCTAATGTGCCAATTATGTGCCTTTCTAAAGCTCCCTTTTGACAATAAAATTATGTGATTTTAAATTTTTAGAATTTTTAAAGAAAAGAAATAAAAAATGCATAATTTTATATCATTAAAAAATCATATAAAATTTAAAACTGCATCATTTTATTGCTGTAGAATATCACTTATTTTATATAAAATTTAATAATAAAAAGAAAAAAAAAGGGAAGTTAATTAGGACATTACAAAGAGCAACATGACAGAGAGCCACGTTTAGAAAAGAAGTGGAGCATAAGACCTCAATATAAGTGTTATTTTTCACACCAAAACTCATCATTGCACACTTATGGAATTTTATTATTTTGTGATTGTATTCTTGCTTAGAATCCCATAGTGCTTCTCCCTTTCTTTATTGTGATTAGTTTAATATTTATTAGTGAAATTTTGAGCAGCGAATAGGATTCTATACGTAGCTGAGGAAACCAAAAGATGCGTAAAGAATTTGAAAAATCAATGGGGATTAGTGGTATTGCTTGCATACATTTGGCTTTTAACTTGGAGATATATTCAGTAGCAAATGGGTGGAGACGTGTGTTTCTAATTTCTTCTGAGATTCCTTCCTGAAATATTATCAAATTGGTATATGTTTGTTCTTGTCTATCCAGGGGGGAAGTTATCCTCAAAACAGCGGGCCGCTAAGGTTTTAAATAATTAATAATATGTATAATTTATATGCTTGATTAAACTCTCTATTTTCTGTAAATTCTTTTGATAATTAATATTTTTTTATAATAATTTTATGACTTAGAAATAAAATAATAGATTATATATAATTTTATAATTCTTTTAGAAAAATGTACAAAATGAAACAGTACATCTAAGATGTAGGAAAAAATTATATACAAAGAATACAACAATTTTATATTTTCATATTGTAATTGTATGATGACGATTAGGGGACAATAATTAATACGATGGATCTTCAAATTTTATAAAAATTAATCAATATGCATGATATATAGACTTTGACATAAAATAAAATAATATCTTTGGCATATTTAAGTTAATCTAATTAATTAATATCATATGAAAATTAAATAGCAAAAAATTACATCTAATGGATCCTTTGAACCATATTCAAACTTATATACGTGCTGTAGTATCGATCTTCGTTGGGCTTCAAAGGATTAGTTGTTAGGGCTCAAAAAAAAAAAACTAGCCCATTAAGGTTGAGGGTTAGCCTTTTGAACCTGCGTTTTTTTTAATTATTATTAAGATATTTGTATAATTATGGATCAGTCTTTTAGGAACAAGTCTGAAATAAAAAATTATTTAAAAGAACTAATACTTAAACTAGATAATTAATAAGAATTAGATGTCTTGAACTAGTAGAAGAACAACTAAAATCAATTTTTAATTCTTTCAAAGATGGTAGTTGATATTCTTAGCATTATAATCACTATAGTAGCTAGTGAATCTTCTTTTACCATAAATTCACATGTCTGAACAAAATATAAAAAATTCTCTTATTCTAACAAATACTCAAGCTCTCATTTATACCCGTAAGTGCTGCATAATTTTATTTTAGATAAAAGTGATGAAAACCAAAATCTTGATATT